CACCACTCGAAACAAACGTGGAAGTCGAAAATACCAACGAGTATGAAGTCGAAAGAATCCTCGATCACAGAAAGATAAGCAAACAAGAAGAATACTTGATCAAATGGAAGAACTATGGGCATGAAGAAAACACATGGGAACCAGTCAAGAACCTGAACTGCCCGCAGTTGCTCCAAGAATATCATCGCCTGGCACAGGACCAAGGTCGGAAAATTCCTCCCCGAAGCCCAACGAGGACCAGTCCACGACGCCGCTAGCACCCCACTCCTGAAGGTCCTGAACCACGTTGGCCTCCTGAGCCTCGAGGCTTAGGTTGTCCCCGCCCAGAGGAAGGACGCCGTCCTCCTCATCCAACTGACGAATCCCACGAGCAAACAACTCTTCCCCACGAGCCTTCGCCGCCTTCCGCATCTTGCGAAGACGGGACAAACGACCCAAGGCCGTCGCCAACTTCGTTTGGAGCACCTCCAACTCCATTTCAGCATCCTCAATCTCAGCCTCTCGCTTCTTCTGCTCTGCAAGAGCCTTTTCCACTAGACGATCATTAGAAAACAGGACCATGACCCCACCAGGGACCAACTTACGCGCAGAAACCACGCTCACACCATCACAAGAGCGACCGCGACGGATGCACTCCCCACAGCGAGAAGAACCAGGGGCGGTCTTACAGACGAGATGTCGCTTGAAGCACCCCGTACAAGGCATCTTGATTTCGCCCTCGGAGTCAATCAAAGCAGCGAGCGCCTTTCTTTGGTCGGTTTTGGCAGACGAACGTTTTATGACACGACCTGACATTTTGTCATGGTTAGTAAGGATGACAAGAGAAGAACCACCGCAGGCGGCTGGGACTTACTACTTATGGCCGCTGGGACATCGGCCTGGAGGAGGAGCATCATGTAACAACCAAGGAAGCAGGGCGGCCGCGAATCGACGACCCCGCGATCAGGGAGCGCGATAAGATAAGAATCGGGCCCACCTGGCAAATCACGTGATGGCTCACTCAGACATAAAGGGTGAGTCGTCGGGCTCACCAAGGACGCCGCAGTGAGCCAGGGAATGGCTCACGGGATAACACACCGTGATCCTAACATCATGGATCACCAACAACTAACCAGTGAGCCATCCAACATGAGCTCACCACCTAACACAACAAGGACAGGATGGCAGGTATATAAGGACGGACATTCTGGACTTGTAGATACATTCTTTCTCACGACAGTGATCAATCTAAGTCTTACCTTGTATTCATTGTAACGAGTGCGCAACGCCTTACGACACCACATCGTCTCAGAGTCACAACCTAAGCTTCTGCAAACAGCAACCCCAACCCTCTGACAGTGTTCCCCCTTCGGAAGCTGCCAGGTCGTAACAATAAAATAGGCTATTTAGGATATTTATATTAATATAAATATATTCGAAGAAGCTATTAAAGGAGTATTTAGGGACGTAGATAAAGAATAATAAAATAAAAGAAAAATCCTTTAGCTTAAATAAATAGGGCTAGCTATTAAATATATTATAGAGTTTCGACTCTTAGCTAATCGATTTAATTAAATAGAGTCTACTTTTATAGCCTATTTCTATAAAGGATTTAAAGATATCGTTAAAGACGACCTTATTTAGGAGGATAGACCCGAAACCCTTATTAAGTATATCGTTATAGCTATTAAGATCGATAATTATTAATATAAATATAGAATAGAAAAAGGATAGAAGCTTATTATAGGATTATAGAACTTTTATATTCCTTATTATTAATCTAATTAAGGATATAAATACTAATATAATAAACCCTATATTAATATAGCTTAAGGATAGATTATTTATATAAGACCTATAGAGCTTAATAATATTAAATATAGTAAATTAAAGGATTTTAAGGATATAAAATATTATAATTATAGTAAAAATAAATATATAGCTCGAGAATATTAATAACCTAAGAAGCCCTAGAAACCTATAAATAAATAATAGCTTAATTATACTTAATACTAGGATTATATTAAAACTAGCTAGACCTTCTATTACTAGGACGATTATTTAACCTATAAAGATAATAAGGAATAGAATAGATAATTCCCTAGAATATTTATAGGATAAAGAACCCTAGCTATAATAATTATTATTAAGAAGGAAAAACGAATTTAGAAATAAGCTTAATAAGTAACGCTAGAGATTTAGGAAATCGATATAAACGAAGAAAGGGCTTATAAATAAGCTTACTTAGAATTATAGGCTATAATCTATATTAGACTTATAAGTAACGAGGAATAGAACGAATATATATAAATAAGCTAAGAGGAGGAACCCCTATTAGGATAGCTTTAACTCTATATCCTAATATAGATTTACGCTATTAATAACCCTAATAAGGATTATAATCCTTTTATATTATAGGATAAACTTATCTATTATAGGACTAAGCTATAGAAAGCTAGCGCCTAAAAATAAGAAAGTATAAAAGAAAATATACGATTTATAATAAGAGATTATCTAGTACTCTACTATACTTACGAATAATATTATTAATTATTTTAGCTTAAATATATCTATAATAATTACGAATATTATTTTAAAGAGAAAGCTATATATTAATTTCTCTTATATAATTACTAAATTAAGCTATAAATAATAATAGAATTTAAATAGGAAAGTTATAAATAGATCCTATATATAGATAACGTACTCCACAAGCGAGTGGAACACACAAGCGAGTGAAACACTCCGTCGCGATTCCCCAACCACCTATCTTTCATCACCTTTCTACCCACAATTAAACATGGAGACTCCTTGCAAAGAAGCTCAATTGATTCTTGCTACCGAAGCTATCAAAAAAGATCCCAAGCTAAGCATTCGGAGCGCTGCGAAGATCTACAGCGTGAGCCATGTGACGCTAGGCCGACGACTGAAGGGAACTATCTCTCGACGCGACAGCCCTCCGAATTCGAGGACATTGACTTCCTTAGAGGAGCAGACAATTATTGAGAGTATTCTGGACCTGGATTCGCGATCATTTCCTCCCCGGCTTCGTGACGTGGAAGATATGGCCAATAGGCTGCTCGCCGACCGAGGCGCGCCACACGTCGGAGTCAACTGGGCTTCAAACTTCGTCAAGCGACAACCACAGCTAAAGACGCGTTTCTTTCGCAGATACGACTATAAGAGGGCCCAATGTGAAGATCCAGACGCGATAAACGCGTGGTTTCGCCTTGTACGGAATGTGGTTGCGAAGTACGGCATTGCGGCCGCAGATATTTACAACTTCGATGAGACCGGCTTTATGATGGGCGTTATCTCAACAGGAATGGTCGTCACAAGCTCGGAAAGGCGCTCAAATACGAAGCTCATACAACCTGGAAATCGACAATGGGTCACAGTGATCCAGGGGGTTAATTCCCAAGGCTGGTGCGTCCCGCCGTTTATCGTGGTCGCAGGCAAATATCACCTCTCGAGCTGGTACGAAGAAACATCCCTACCAAAGGATTGGGTTATCGCCACGACTGAAAACGGATGGACTACCAATAGAACAGGACTGGAATGGATTCGGCACTTCGATAAGTACACCAGGCCTCGCACAACAGGCACACATCGACTCCTCATTCTAGATGGACATGAAAGTCACCACTCGATCGAATTCGACGCCTACTGCAAGGAAAACAACATTATCGCGCTCTGTATGCCGCCTCATTCATCTCATTTACTCCAGCCTCTCGATATTGGCTGCTTTGGCCCGCTTAAGCAGGCGTACGGTCGGCAAATCGAGAAGAAGATGCGGGCGGGTATAAGCCATATCACCAAGGAAGACTTCTTCCCTGCGTTTCTTACAGCATCCCAAGAGGTAATGACGGAGAAGAACATCCAAGGGGCCTTTAGGGGAGCTGGACTCGTTCCTCATAACCCGGAAGCAGTCCTTTCGAAGCTGGATGTGAAGTTACATACCCCAACGCCTCCAGGGAGCAGTGGAGGGATACCCGAACCTTGGGTCTCGAGGACGCCCAACAATCCGATTGAGACGACTTCGCAGTCTGAGTACATCAAAAATCGGATTGCCCGTCATCAAGATAGCTCACCAACGTCTATTCTCGGCGCCGTTGACCACTTAGCAAAGGGAACGCGGAGTATCATGCATAAACTCACCCTCGTACAGTCCGAGGTCCAGCTCATACGAGGGGAGCTAGAGACCCTAAGCAAGCGTCGCAGAGCGAAGAAAAAGCGTCTCAGGCAAGGGGGAAGCATGTCTATAGCCGAAGCAGAGGACATTCAAGCCCAGAATGAGGTAGACGTCCAGATGAAGCAGGAAACGCAGCTGAGTAGGGGTCGTAAGCAGGGTATAGAATTGGCCCCTCGACGCTGTGGAACATGCGGCAAGGCAGGACATAACTCAAGGACCTGTCAGATCATTGTAGCTATATCAGATGATGATAACACCGATTGATTTAGTTAATTCAAGTCGTCGTGGTTGAGATATCTGGGGTTTTATTTGTGCGGTCGTGGTTGAGTGTTTCACTCGCTTGTGTGTTCCACTCGCTTGTGGAGTACGTTAGTTGATTTTGAGAGCAGTTCTGTTGACCTAGTTTGATTTCATGTCATTTTCCAACAATGCGGCTCCGCAGCATGAGAAGAGTGTGTCAGGGCCAGGTGAGATCAACTCAAGAGGTAATGCCACTGTTTTGCAAGAATCCTAAGTTGAAGAAAGGAGAGAGAATCGAGCAGGTGGCGCGTGGGCGCCAGCGCGTGTTATGTTACCCCACGCGTCGGCTCTTGACCTACGCACCCCGCACCGGACGGTCCCGTCACAGAGTGCTTAGATTAATTCCTGTATGCTTCGCTACCGAGTCCACACCGCCGCCTGATTGATAGCATCATTTTCCCAACAAATCCAATGGCTCCGCAACATAAGCGGCGTTGCGAACTCTTCTGAGAATCGCAAGTACGTAGACCTTGTCCTCGGGAGGAGTTCCGTACTATGTATTACGGGCTCCTTGGTTTCCAAAAGGCATATGTCGAACGAGCAGTCGAACACTGTAAGGGGTCAGCGCGCCCATGACATCATCGACTTTGGCAGCGCCCGAGACGATTTCGATGAGGGCCGCTACGAGACACCCCCTGAGCCAGAGCCCTGGACCGAAGTTGCCGTCGGGAGCGATGATGAGTGGCACAAGGTGCTAGAAGATGCTGACTTCGGCCCCTAGCCCCTCCGCCTACCAAGAGATCTCTATTGAGCAGAGCAGTGCAGAGGTTGAGGCTCCGGCGTCGAGCATCTCGGCAAGGTTATTCTGGAATCCCACTACACTCCTTAGACACATGAAGCTAACCAGGACTTGTCCGATAGAGTGATGAGTCTGTCGAGACTGGCAACCGTCGTTTGAATATTGAGATGCCCGGTACTGCTTTTAAGGTGACTGCGCCTCTTCCAAATGGCACCACTTTCAGCGCTGGAGAGATGGAGACGCAATCTATCGGCCTCAGCGCCTCCACCAGATCATCCAGCCTTAGGAAGCGGCATATTCACGTGGAGAAAATAGAAGTACATTTCGTGGTAACCAGACCAATCTAGCCCCAGATAACTGCGTGATCGGTGCCATAGCGGGAGTGGAATTCATGCCATCAAAAAAATACAAGCAGCCATATTCAGCCCTTTGGTCCTTTGGAGGGGTCCCAACACCGTTCACAGAGTTCGGGCCTAATGTTTGTTTGGCTGTAACACCATACAGGTCGGAGACCACGAAGATCCAGACAGCTTGAAGCTTGGGTCACTCCAAAGTGAGCTGACTGCAGACTGGTATTGCAGCCGTCACATAATGTTCTCAACACCACCACATGACCCCCACCATTATCATCACATCGCTATCATGTCACATCACATTGTGGCGGCCGCCATCTTGGGCGCATTTCGTGACTATTCTACTACCTGATTCGTTAGCGCTTGACGTTGGAATCATCATCTCCAGGGAGCTGATGATTACCGGCATCGCTACCTGGGCAGGATTTTGTTGGCCAGCCCCTGTGTGGTAAGGGGAGAATCTGGCTGCGAGCTCAGAGGCGTTGACAATTGGTAATGACCACGAGAAGAGACATGGGCGCTGTCGCCGGGTAGCTCTATGGAGCTAGCGTCCTTGTCCTTCGCGTCGTCAGCGACGGACGACCCTACGGCCGCGTCCTGTACAAGAACAGCATTAAGAATCTTCTCGATCGCCATGTCGAAACTCGAACCTGCCGAGCTGGCTTCGCTTAAGGGCTTGGATTGGCCCCGGGCCATGAGCCCATACTGGTCGAAGCCATAACTGAGGGCACTTCTTCGTTGTAAAGTTCGCTGAACGGAAGATGGACGTTGCCGAGGTCCTTCTCCTGGATGTGCGGACCGTCGCCTTGCCACCTCAGAGATTCTCCAGTTCGACCAGGTCCAGCGGATCAGGCCTCCTGAATTTTTCGTCCATTTGTGCTTTTTGTAGCAACACCCGGTTTCCCTGAATCACCAGTTTGGTCCATCTATACCTGATTATACTTGTCGAGCAGCTAACTACGCATCTGTTCGCATAGCCGGAACTTCTCCGCGTCTGTGTCGCAGAGGCCCACATCTCTGCGAAACGCCCCAATGAGCTCGGCCTGATCAGTGGTCAACAGGAGAAGGAGAGGTTCAGCTTCGGTTTCCTTGCCAGAGTTGGTAAGTCTGGACGAATTAGTGGAGGGGAGGCGGCGGATTCCATCTTGGACTTAAGGACCAAATTTAGCCTCAGTACATTCGAGACAACACCGCCTTCCTTATTAGAGTTAGCCCAAAATATCTCTAGGCACGTTCAGATACCTCTCTACAACCCTCGAACTGCAACTACGTCAGCGATATCTACGCATTTCAACAGCCACAAAAACCACCAAAATCAACGATATCGAACTCCTTTTGAGTCTCACAGTGGAGTCAAGTACTGCTGAGCTCGGCGATACGGGTACAAGCTGTCCCGATGCCTTCACCAGTACCTCCGGCAGTTGTTGAATTCGAGCCCCTCTTCCGAAGAGGGGCTCATCTAGAATGCCGTTCCCGAGCTCACACCGCCGCCCTGATCTATACCATGCTTTTTCCATCAAAGCTAATGACCCCGCAACACGAGCAGCGTCGTGAATTCTTCTGAGCAGCGCAAGTACGTAGACCTTGTTCTCGGGAAGGATTTCGGCACTTTGGATGCTGGGTTACCAGATTTCCGCGAGACATGTCTCAGATGTGTGGTTGATTTCCTGCTATTGCGTCCGAGACACCATTGTGAGCCCCGTGGAGGATATGTTCGGTAAGGTCGGTGTCGGTACGGTGTTTGTACTCCGGCGAGGCACGTGCCCAGTGGTGGCATGGACCTTTTGTGGATGGGAAAGGATGCTAGCGTAGTCAAGGAAGAGGTAAGAGGCGCGAAAACCGAAGATGAACCTCGACGTTGTGGAACATCCGGCAAGGCAGGACAGAACTCAAGAACCTGTCAAATCTGATGATTACTCCGATTGATTTAGTTAATTCAAAGTTGTTTTGGTTGAGATATCTGTGGGTTTATTTGTGCGGTCGTGGTTGAGTGTTACGTTCGCTCTCGTCTTCCACTCGCTTGTAGCGTACGTTATCTCAAGTTGCCCAGCATTAATCTTCGGCTCGAGGCCTTAGCCATCCTATTAACCCTTGCTGGATTCTGTATCAAATTCATCGGTTTCCATGCTGTGACCGTTCGTTTTCCCACTGCTTTCCGTTTTCGTCAGCCTCAGGTGGACAGTTGGCGTTAGGTCCTCTCAGTGAAGCCAGGTCTCGTACCAACGTGGTCGTTGACCAGGCATATCTGCAGATCGTGCTTCTGATCCTCTATATTCCAGCTCTGGCGGCTCTGGCGGCTCTGGCACACCGGAGGCTTCCAGCTATTTGTATGCTCCATGGCGCGGGTGGCTTCGGTGGCAGCATGTTGGGATTGTTGGTTTTGGACAGTCAGGGTAGCCGTGTTTAGGGGGGCATATTGCTAGCAGCGGCGTTGACTGGTGTCGCACCGTTTGGATTCATCTTGCCTACCCTTGCACTGCGTAGTAGTAACGCCCGAACTATCTTCGACTGGTCATGTCGTGATCCAGAGTAGAGTGGCGTTCTGCCACCGCCGGCCTTTGTCTCAATGTCAACACCAACTTCGAGGATCATTTCCGCAAGTTCTACGTTTCCTTGGGTACAACACAGATCAAGAAGATACTGCCCAGTAGACGCCGCACTTCGCCCAGTGCCGAACTTACGGACGTGGGTGACCGCCAAAGCAGTCAGGCCGAACTTGAGAGCATAATACGACGGCCCTGGGGGAACATCCTCGTCCTCCGCTGCATGCACTTCATCATCATCATGCGTATCGACCCAATTTCTCCATGCACCCCAGCAGGGGTCGTCCTCATTCATGAAACTGAGGACGCACTCTAAGGTGCCTGGGACGTGGTCCAACGGCACGCCCGACCTGAGATGTACATGCCAAGATGCTGTGGTGTAGTCCCGAAGGATGGCTTGAAATGGTGACCCGTCTGTGCTGTCCTGCCATGCCTGGTGAGACTGCAGATACCATAGGCACGACCGGGCCAGTATCGTATTTTGAACGCATTCATTAGATGCTCGCAGAGTCTCGTTTTGCCAGATGTTCCCCGTGGGCAGCTGTCTGACGAGGAATTCCCGAACTGTGAAGTGGGCCAAATGCACAAACCGGGCTCCCGCAGCCGGGCGAGGGCCGCGGACTTCGACAAGCGGGCCGCAGAGCTCAACGATCTCGCTGCTGATGTAGTCGTCGTCGATGACATCGGGGAGCTCGTCCGTCGGAAGACCCTCGTACTCTTCGTCAATCAGCACAGCCTCAGTGATTTCGCCCAAGGTCAACGGCCGTAGGGCAAAGGCGGCCCTCCGCAGCAAAGCCACGGCACGGTCCGCTCAGTTGCTTCTTGTGATCTTGGTCCAATTTCGCTCGTACAAATTGTTGAGCCCAGCTGGCGTGCTGTCGAGTCCACGCTGAAGCTGCACAAGGGTCTTCCAAGACTTCAGAGACTGTTCTTGGAGTAGGAGCCAGAGGAATTGGCCGTCGCTTCGATCGGTCATGGTTTTGGAGAGACTCGCCCGAATGTCTTCGGGCTTCTTGGCCAGCTTCTTATCGACAATGGACCGCGAGAACGTGGAGGCGTCGTCATGAACGTATCGAGGTGATATTTGGTATTCGGCAAGGCTGTAAGAATCGTTGGCTCGCAGGGTCTGTCGAATTTCGGGCTCGTCGCGGCAATTGACGACGACGCGGGTGGCAGGCGTGTTGGCGTTCTTGTCGTCTTCGAGGAACCTCGTGATGAAGCTGCTGCTGTCGGCTGGTGCCGTGCATTCGTTGAGGCCATCAACGACCAGAACACAGCCCGGCCTGGCTTGCAGAACATCGCCGAGGAACTGGACGACGGTGGCACGGGGCGACCTGATCCTGCGTTGTCTCCCATTTCAGCCGGATCAGGTCGTACACGTCCGGCTGTGCGGCGGGCTGAGAGAGCCATGATCGAACGACGGCGTAGGGATCGTTGCGACTTTCGTGGTCGGACGACAAGAAGAAGTAAGCGACGAACTTGACGGAGGTAGCCGAGAGGTGTTCGACGATGCGCGAACATAGGAAAGTCTTGCCAAATCCAGGTCGTCCGTGAATCCGCAATATTTCGGGCATGTCGGTAGGTAGCTCCGGGGCACTCCAGGGGATGTACATAACCGAGAGAAGTTGGCCTGCCAGCTCATCCTGCCAATTCATGTACTAGAAGGAGAGCTTCTATATTGTAGCTACTGTACGAGGCGTCTCGGAGTCTCGCCTAACCGTCTCAAACTCCTCGCTGAGTAGGTCGATGAATTTCTGATCGCTTTCGCCTAGCAGCTTGAGATACTGGTCAGCGGTGATACACTTCTCCTGTATGAGCGCGGCCGCCTGAACGAGCGCGAGTGTCAGCTCCTCTAGTCGCGTCGTAAGCTGTCAAGGGGTCTTGTGCAGCGAGTGAAGGGATCAACTGTCAGTCTCTTGGGGGTCTCTAGGAAGATAGAATAATCGATACCATTCTCTAATCTTGGTCCGTTGACCTTCTTTGTAACTATCCCCTCACAGCGCTCGGTCCTCTCTTTTTGATTCCTACGACCAGACAACTGGCGACACCCTGGCGGTCTCGTACCTCCCTCGGGTCCTGACGTAAGCGTAGGTAATGCGGTACCGGTGGAGTTCACATGTTCGAGCTTCGTAAGTCTTTATCCGTCCCTCCGGGAAGCCGTCTTGAGCTCGTAGCCGTGAGATTGGTATTTGTGCACGGCAGCATCTGCTGTCTCCCGTACACACTCTGGAACCTGCCACTGATATGCTGTCTTCTCCAGCGCCAGCTTGTAATACATATGAAAAGCAGCATGCTTTGCTAGAAAGCACTGAACATGGCTTGCGTAGAATGAAAACAGACTGCGCAAGACGGTCTGAAGGAGCGGCGACGATGGAGAGAAGGTTGAGGTGCTGGGCGGTGGTTCGCTGACGCTATACAACATCCAACAGCTCCCTCGGAGCCTTCTTTTCGAGGCTTGTGGCAGACCCTGTGCTCGTTTGCTCACAGAGTTGGGCGTTCTCTTCACGATCATGATTGGGGTGTTATTTTTCAGAGGAAGGTGGTAAATAGAGGTGTTGAATGGGCTTCACGGCTCGCGTGAACTCAATCCTTGGCTCTGGTTGTGCCTGACAGCTCTGGTTAGTGGATTCGGTGTTGCGGTTGACTGTGCATCTTCCCCTCTCTCGTTCGACTCCCCTGAGCACCGGAAAGCCGTATTTGGCTGCTCCTCAAGTGAGGTAGGTCCACATGATCGGAAGGAAACGGCTATCTATTCAACAGCAGGCTTATTCAAAGAGGTAGGTAATCAATATCGGAGTTTATTTTTGTTAAGACCCGATAGCTTCCGAACAGGGAAACCGTCAAAGAGTTGGGGTTGCTGTTAGCAGAAGCTTAGGTTGTGACTCTGAGACGTTGTGGTTTCGCAAGGCGTTACGCACTCGTTCAATAATTACAAGGTAAGACTCACGTTGATCACCGTCCTGAGAAGGACTGCATATACATCTACCAGAGTATTCATCCTTTTACATCCTGTCCCTGTTGGCTGGGTAGTGAGTCCATGTTGGATGGCTTGCGGATTTCATCGTGACCTTGTTGCTGCGGGTCACAGTTAGGTTGGTCGACAAGACCACCTTGAGTATCATGATCCAGTCACGGTCACGTGAGTGATTCGGCCGTTGCGGTCGCCTGGGTATCCCGGCCTGGTGTGATGATGACACCTGCTGGTTGTTACACCAAGCCAAAAGGCTCTGGTGTCTTAACTTACAGGTGTATATAACGGAGGCCTGATTTGGTATGGCACCGTCAACGGCGGATGAACGGCTGCCGACGATAAAGGTCTTGAAACACTTTACTCCGGCTTACAAAGCTAGCAGCCAGCGAGTGGCAACTGGTCCAGGTGGTCAAAGAGACGCCCCAGTCAAAAGATGCAGCCGCGTGTCATCCGTAGCTCCTTCCTACAATGCCTCAAGAGACCTCACCTTGGAACCGATCATTGAATCGTCAGTCGTCCCATAGGCAAATCGCGGTGCAACGCAGCGCTTACAGTGCCTAGCGACACGGCAATCGTCTCTTTCTCCTGTCACCATGCGTCATCGACGCATTGGACCACTGGCCGGCGCTGGCCTGGGCCTCGGGCTGGTCGCGATCGCCTCAGGGCAAACACAATGTTTCTTTCCCAACGGCACCGACGCCCTCCGAACCAATCCAAACGGCGACTTCTTCCCCTGCGAGTACCCCGGCTTAGGCATGTGCTGCGCTTCGCTAGACGACAGATGTCTTGGTGCGCTTTGCTGGTCCAGCACGACGAATGGTCTGTACCGCGGCGGCTGTACTGATACGGCATGGGAGTCTGAGGAGTGCCTGCACCTTTGCACAGGCGGCGAATATCTCGGTATGTTAGGATTTTTTCAATCTGGCTATCGGCCGCCCTGGCTTACCTAGTTGTGAGCAGAGGGCGACGAGACGAAAACCCCCATGGACAGTCGCAACGTGCCAGTGACGCAATGCACCGATGGCCGTTACTGCTGCGGTAATCGGACAGATGTGAGAAGCTGCTGCAACGGTGGCGGAGGCTTCTATGTCAATGGCACGACCATTAGGGTCGCCGAAGGGAACAGCAGTCGTGTTAGCCCACCAGTCTCTACCGCGACGTCTCAAGGAGCGGCACCGGGGACGAGCACGGGAGCAGTCGCCGACGAGCAGCAGATGGGACCAGCAAAAGACGCCGCTTTAGGGAGTAGTGTTGTTGTTGGCGCCGCGGTGGGCGGCTGGCTCGGTACGCTGCTCCTGGTATCTCTCGCGTTGTTGGGCGCCTTCTTTTGGCGGCGGAAGAAGGAGAGATTGCCAACTGCTCAGGTAGACTCGGAAGTTGCGAGTATAAATGCTTCGAGCAGAAAGGCTCCCGACATGCACGAAGCTCCAAGTCCGACCGACAATATCCCAGAAGAAATGCCCACGAGTAATGGGGTGGTCGAGATTTCGGGTGTCTCGCGGGCTGAGGTGCCTGGCGACCATTGCTACGAACTCGACTCGAAATCTATAAACTGGGAAAAGCGGGCATGGGCTTTCAGTACGAACGGCAGCTCGGAAGTCATTGGCGATGGAAGTAGATGATGTAGACGTGGGCTACCTTCACTACTTTTGCAGAACACAACCTTACAACGCGGTTTTCTCAATAAGCGGCGATGGAGACTTGTTCTGAAGATGCTCATGTGAATCTCGCCCTTAAAGCTATGAAATGAGACCATTGCTCTACTACCTGCCGTGCAGCTTCAATTTACGGTGTCCCTCACTCGCCGCCAAAGGGAACCCCTTTTCGAATCGAGAGCCCGCCTAATTCACCTCGCCTAATTCAGCGAATTTGTCTAAGCTCAAAGAGCAGACGATTATTGAATACGCAGTTGACCTAGGTTCACGATGATATTATCTTCCGTTTGGTGAGGTTGGAGAAACGGCGAAATTACTACTTGCGGAACGTGGCGCGCGACGCGTGGGAATGAACGGGCCGTCCAGTGACAGCAATCGAAGTCTCATTGTAGCGGCGGTATTCGATTGACCTCCTACTGTTTGTCGAGTGTTCATCGTTCATCTGCATGTGTTTGAGTAAATGACCAGATGATTGTGCAGGTCGTTTACTGGCACCATCATGGTACGAGAAGCCTGCCTCACTCTCCTGTGTGAGGGGGGGGGGCTAACCGCGCGCAGCCGTACCTGGCGCTTTATGACTGTAATGTGAGCCAATGGTCATGCACCAAGGGGTCTAGACGCGCAGGTGACAACGGCACAGCGTAAGGCTGAAAGGAAACCCAAGATCATTGGTTTAGGGGTTTGGGCTTATCGTACAAAAAAAATGATACTTCTTTATGCCAGAAGCGGCAGCAAGGCAGCCACTCCAGTAGTCAGCCATCGGGCTAGCCTCTTCCTGGAACTGTATTGACATGAGACATGTGTTGCCGATCAGGCAAGGTTCTGTTCTGTGACCCAGGAGTACTTTCATCCCAAATGTGGAGTCCTCATTTGATGCATTTGTTCTGTCGTTATCGCCCCGGTAAGACTCCTTACCGATGCTGGATCTGACCAATTACCTTCGTTTGGACTTCTGGAAGTCTCCTTTTGTACCTTAACAACAATCAATCCACTTTGTTCAATTCCGTGGTGACAGTTATGAGCCCGGGCGACGATACAGCTCCTTGACCTTCGATATCTACAGCAGGGCGCCTACGGCCAATACGCCTGCTGCGAAGCTGTCTACAGCTGAATCGCCGCTGCACTTCAACAGTCAATTGACGCGACGTTTCGCCATTGACGACCACTGGCCAAGGGCCGTTACCGACATCCTCCAGGAGAGCGATCATCTCTCCACGACACATCGAAGCAGGAGAAATCAGCTCCTCAAGACCAATTGAACCTCCGAGACGTGTGGCCTAGGGCTTGAGTACACGCGGGGTCAATTGATGATATTCAACATACACGCGATCAGTCGCGACCATCGAACGACCTCCCCGACGGTCTCCGACAACGCCCAGGGATCCTCAAGATGGACTCTGGTAAGCACAGAGTGACACTTACAAGGAGGGAGGAATGGAGGACATGGCTCAACTCCGTCAGAGCCGTGGCGACCTCCTACGAGGCCTGGGATCTAGTCGACCCAGACAAAGAGGCTGACAGACGGCCCAAGAGGGCCAAGAAGCCAACAGCACCGTCATTCGAAGATGAGACGCGAGATCTCAGCACACTGCTGACGTTGTACAAGATCCATTTGGACATCTACAACAGGGAGTCAGCGGGCCTCCAGGAGGTCCAGAAATACATCCTCAACACAGTCGACAGGAGCCTTTCGGCCGTCTTCATGAACGAGGAAAGCAGCCAGGAGTGGCTCAAGGCGTTGAAGGACCACTTCGCCCCTTCCGACATGGGACAGAAACAATACATTCGCCAGCGCTGGGAGGAGCATATGGCGATGATCAAGAAGATGGACCATGAGAAGTGGGTTGACGACTTCATCCTACTCTGTATCGAAGTTGAGAAGCACGGGATTCCTCAGCTTAAAGAAGCCGCAGATCAAAATGTTCAATTCCTTCGGGCAATTCTTTCCGTGTCTCCAGGGTGGGCCGAAGCAGAGTGCGCCCACCAAGTTCGCCGGGAGCTGGATGATCGTGATGGAGGGAAGGTACTGGCGTTGAGGTACAAGAGCTACCTTAGAGACTACCAACCGCATCGCCTCACCACCAAGCCATCTCAGACGTCCTTCTACAGCGACTCGGTGACCTTCATGGGCAAGGACCGGAATGGTCAAAGTGATCGGACGAGTGCCCAGGATTCCCATCGTGACTCTCCTCAACAGCCAAACAGCTCGCCTTCTCGCAGACCATTCTGCGACTGTGTACAGCAGAAGAGGGCACCCAAGGCGTGTCAGCCCATCTGTCTGTGCCCAAATATCGCAGAACACCGGAGGAAGAAGAGCTATCAATCCGATCAGAGCCTGCTGGACTACATTGACGAAGCGAAGAAAAGGATGAAGCCAAGCACATTGCAATTCTGGAACGAGAAAATCAAGGAGGACAAAAAGAAGCGGCAGGAGGCAAGAGGCACCAGTGGAGTCGCCGTCTCTGCTTTTAACAACTTCCTCGGTGACGATGATGAACAGAGCTGCGATGACGAGTACACCAACTTCATGAGCAACTTCTCCGTCGCTGATTCGGACGAGTTTCAACGGACAAACCGAGGAGGGGATCTCCGTCACGAGTTCCTGATCGACTCGGGTACACCCAACCATATAACCAACAACAAAGACCTCCTCACCAACTTTCGCGAGGCCACCGACACTGTAAGATACAGCACAGGAGGAGGCAAATCAAGCCCCGTCGAAGGGCATGGCACGATGGCCATCGACACCCTCGACAGCAAGCAGAACGTCATCAGCATCACCTGCCATGATGTCTCGTACATCAAAGACTACCCGACGACGCTTATTTCAGCCAGGCAGCTCCAACGCCAAGGACTCGGACTGGACTCCCTCAGGAACATGCTGTTCAACCCAGCCACTGGCTCAGAGATCCCACTTCAGGAGAAGGGTGGCCAGTATGCGGTGAACACCCTACATAGCACCACTTCCTTCTATCACTCCAAGAAGCAGAGAGCCGCGATGGTCAGCGACTCGAGGCTCTGGCACGAACGGCTGGCTCATGCCCACCCAGAGGCCATACAGCAGCTGCCATACAGCTGTACTGGAGTTGGGGTGAAAGGGCCAACAACATTCGAATGCGAGTCTTGCGGGGTAGCGAAATCCAAGAAGATTGTATCTCGGAGACAGCCAACGTACACGACGACGAATCCATTTGAGCGCGTCAACCTGGACTTCTTCAGCCCTGGGAAGTCGTACAACGGCATGGAGTCGTGCCTTGTAATAACGGACGCATATTCGGGGAAGATTGTTGTCAGGATTCTGCCTGCCAGAGCAGATGGCTTCCAGGCGTTTATCAACTTTGAGATGTTTCTCTGGAGACAGTACCATCTGGTCATCAAGGTCCTGAGAGTTGACTGGGACTCAGCACTACGCAGCAATCTGGTTACTTGGTCAGAAGAGCGCGGCATTCTCTTGGAGAGATCAGCCGCAAGGACACCAGAACAGAACGGTGCCGCAGAACGCAATGGAGGCACGATATTCACCATCGCAAGAACCCTTACCTCGGCTGCTGGGTTCCCGGAGGATTTGTGGCCAGAGGTGGTACAAACCGCTGCATATCTCCACAATCTCACGCCGAAGGGACGCCTACAGTGGGCGACACCAGAAGGAAGGCTGAACGACTGGCTCAACTCCAAGGGCCTTGCCGCTCGAACTACGGCTCCAGGCCTGGCTTACCTGCGAAGATACGGATGCAGGGCGTATCCTCTCACGGCAGACGCCCAAGAGGGACGTAACCGAAAGCAGAAGCTGGCTCCGAGAGCCCACATCGGCTATCTCTGTGGATACGACAGCAGCAACATATACAGAATCTGGGTTCCAGAGATGAAAGCAGTATTGAGGACAAGAGACGTGGGTTTCGATGAGTCCACAGTTTTCAAGGACGCCCAATCCCCAAAGCCAATTCTACAGGACGAATTCCAGGCTTTGGACGTGCCCGTTGCGGACGCCCAGAATCCTTTCAACTCGTCACTGGACATTGACGAGTTCGATGTTGCCACCATCGACCTGTTCGAGAAAGCCCGGACATTCCAACTTGGAGGAAAGATCAACGCGGAGATACTGCGACCCCGGGAAGGTCACACAGCCAGCAGAGATGATGTCCTGCCGTCACCACGTCCAACTCCAGAGACGGAGACTGGACAAGGCCAGCCAGCTGTCTCTGAGGGGGTGGAAGATGCCGTAATAGACACCATTCAAGGGGCTGAAGATGCTGTGGAAGACACGATCCCCGTGCCAGACACCATTCAAGTGACTGAAGAGGCTATTGAAGACACTATCGAAGTAGCTCGGAGCCCTGAATCAACACCTCAACACACACCAGCTGATCAAAGTTCAGCTGAAGACGAGACAGAGACTGTGGAGGCCCGACCATCAGTGGCACCAGCCCCACAGCCGTCGCCATCAACACAAATCCAAGGCACTCGAAGGAGCGCTAGAGACAGAAAGCCGTCACAGTTCAAAGACGGCACCCCCACCGACCAGGCTCTAGGAGCCCGCCGCAGCAAGAAAATGCCTCCATCATCACATTTGACCGTGGAATACTCATTCTTTCACACTCAGACTCCATCGAACAAGAAACCGCTTCTCCGAACAGATATGCCCGCGGAGCCAAGATCCTGGAAGGAGATGCTTCATTCTGATCACAAAAAGCAGTGGCTAGAAGCAAGCGTCCAGGAGGTCAACACCATTGAAAATATGGACACAATCGAGCAAGTCCCCTTCGAATCGGTCGACCAGGAAATACACAAGGTTCTCGGGTTGACCTGGGTCTGGAAATACAAGGTTGACTCCACCGGCTACGTGACCAAGTTCAAGGCCAGGCTCTGCGTACGAGGAGACCAACAGCCCAAGAATGAGATGGAAACATACGCGTCGACACTGGCAGCCAAGACGTTCAGAACGTTGATGGCCATCTGTGCAGAGTTTG